ATTTTTTTTGTCTTAAATTCGTCTATGGATGCTGATCAAAAGTTATCACTTCGCCAAATTTCTACGAGCCACCGTTTTTGCACAATCCGCGATTTCAGTTTCGGTAATTTTCAAGACAAGCCCGCTAAAATAAAAAAGCAGTGCGTGTCTGTCTGGTAAGGACAATAGAAGGGGAGAGAGAAAAAAACTGCTTTGGGCGGTGAAAAGAAAAGGCTTGTGGAATCCGAGATAAAACTGTCGCTCGGCTACTGATCGGTTTTCCTGTTTACGTGACTTACACTCACCCGACCGACCCAAACCGTACTCGAGTACTACACTACCTTCATTTATGCAAGGAATTATCGCAACTTTTTGATGGATAGTGCGAAAACGGTGCCTCGAAGAAAGTTGACACAATGTTGACTTGTGATCAGCATCTGTAGACGAATTTAAAACAATAAAATAATTAAAAATCGATTGCCGTACACATCCCCATAAGAAGTTAGCAGGGTCCTCTAGATAAAATCATCAGTTTTCAGCTGATATTAACGAAATTGGTCCATTTTGAAATTTTCATCCATTGCTGCCACGTTTCTGTAGCTCAAATTTACGGTTTTTACACACAGCAACGTGGCGTAACTGGATGAAAATTTCAAAATGGACCAATTTCGTTAATATCAGCTGATAGATTTCTCTAAATTTTGAGACCAAGTTCATCTCTCTACAACAGACCGTTCACGAGAAATGCCAGTTTAAGGTTTTAACTTTGACCCCCTTCTCCCCTAATTGTCCACTTTCAAAAATCGTCAGTGTTTTAGACCCCAGCAGTGATCTTCTATCAATTCTGAAAATATGTCAAAGATTTGGACGATTTTGAATAGGGTCCTTTACACAAAATATTTTCTACAATTCGTTTCGCAAACATACTTACAATGATCTTTGAAAGAAGTCCATTTTTATCCTAAACAAAGAGTTACACTCTTTGCAACATTGATATTTTGTGAAATTGATTAGGTCACATTTAAATAGTAAATATTCTACATTATTCCACAAGGCTCTTCAAGCACATATTGAACCTTCAGTTGACAATACACTTCAACAAGAGTGTCGTTTGATTCTCTATTAAATCGTGTTTGCTTAGAGAATTATTTTTTTTTTTTTTTTTTTTTTTTTTTAAAAAAATTTT